TAGATCAGATTACTAAGTCTCATTAATTCAGCAATTTATACCATTAACTTGCTGACTCTGCGGTTAGCGAAAGAGGGAGGTTATCTACTCCCTTTGTCCTAAATTTCGGGGTGGAGGGTTTTCCATTGGCTAACCCCTTTACCGGTGGGTGGGCCCGTAGTGCCTCGTTGCTGCGTATTTGATAATATTATTATACTCCAGTGTACCTACAACGCGACTTGCAGAAGTGCTATTGCGTATTCTGCTAACTCAGGCATTCTTAACCTAGATTGTCTGCCCAGGTGTTGACATACTAATGTGATTGCTGTAAAACGTTTGTCGCAACTCTCGAAACATTTAGGCAATGGTTTCACTTTTCATTCTCAAAATTTTGCTCCGTAACAATCTTTCACATAGGATTTTATCAATGCACTGGCCTTACCAACTATTCCATAAAATTCTACTTTAGACAGAGAGAGGCAGATAGACAGATATTGTTGGTGTCAAAAGTTTTCTTCAAATCACAGAAAATGCTGATGAACATTATTGGTATTGATGTTGTCCAGCTATTGTTCGAAAATAATTATTAAAAGAATCTGTAATCACATCATGATTATCAGTTAACTTCCCATCAATGTTTAAAAACTGTATACCTGCATTATTAATTTTTCTACCTGTGTCTGATTTTATAATGCTCCAGGTGGTTTTCATTTTGTTACTAGAATTAGAAATTAATTGATTATAATAAAGATTTTTAGCTCGTTTAATAAGACTGGCCAAAATATTACAATATGTTTTATAATAATGTTTCAGATCTGGCTCATACTGTGCTGAATCCCTGGAGAAATTGAGGAATATCATTCCAGTTTCCTCACTGGAAGGCCTGCATCCTGGAGCAAAACACTTCTTTTTCCTTCCCACTTATACTGCAAGAAACAATACAAAAATCATAACAGAATCACAGTACACTCTCACTTTCTTGAAATTCTGCGGTCCTTCTTCAGGCTACACCGAAAGATGCTTAAAATTCAGAAATACGATTTGGATGAAGTATCGTAGTAACACTGACTTCGTGTTTGTTTCTAATTTCACTGAGCGTAGTAAGCATAATCCATATACATAAGTAACACACAGATGTAAATTCATGCGTAAATGTCGACTCTCGTTTCACAACATCAAATCAAAGTCCCTACTTACTATAAATGATATGAACTCCGTCCCAAGTGCAAACAATATATTATATGTCCTTGATCTTGCTCTCCTTTACACTACATGTTTCGGCCTCAAACGGCCATCATCAGGTGTATACACTCACGTTGCTGTTACACTGCACTTAGTTTAAAATTTAACATTTAAAAACACATTGTTCCTTTCGTTGTTGTTATCAACATCTACTTCGTTGATATCTGTCTGGTTTATAGATTATTTTTGTTACACACGTTAATTTTGATTTCCCTGATTTAGCAATTATAAAATCTTTAGTTCTAATTTTAAAATCCTTTAAAATTTTTCTCTAATTTATCTAATTAATTGCACGCCATACCTCGATGGCGTACACACATTAGTGACTACTCAGTCTTACTGAACCAACGCCCAAAACCTTCAACGGAAATTTAAGATCCTCTAATTGGCTCGCACTTATGCGATTCGGTTAATTGTGATAGGTGTATTATGATCGATTTCAGTCATTTCCAGACTATCTAGTTCATCATGAATATAGATGGGTGTTCCGCATGTGTCCCTCTCACTATGGGCGTTTCCCCCCCCCCCCCCTTCTCTCAAAAAGTTACGCCATCTTTTAGCAAATGCAATTGTAATGCCAAAACTTCCCAAGAGATGGCTATTCTACATGGTCAAAAAAAAAAAAGTTTCAATTCCGAATACACGTAACTTTGTGTACTACTTAAACCGCTGTCATTGTTTTATTTTAACACCAAAATTCACAAAATGTTGACAAGAGTTGTGCATTCTAGGGGCGAGGCAACACCACCTCAAATTCAGATTTAAAAAAATCCGTTATAAAGTAGGCACCTGGATTCCAGTTTAGCAGGCGGGTAGAGGAAACTTGTGTTTCACTAATTCCTCACATCATCTTAAGTGGGTATGTTCGCCCAAGGTAATGCATGATTTTATTTTTAATTTCGTGCACTTACCGTCTGCAATGGAAGATTATATTAATATGGTGGTAGTTGAGGTCCGTTGGGACGTCATAGGATGAGTGGACGACCACAATGAAAATACGGGGATATTAATTTGTTTTAATTAAGGTCTATTTATTATAACCAGGAAATATCGCGTCCACACACGATACGAAACTTTGATATACAGTGCAAATATTTTATTCGTAGCAAGATAGAACTGACGATGGCACTATACAGCCGCAACATGTAATGCGGAAGATAGGTGAATACAAAGTCGTATTTCGGGCGAAAATATATGTGAAATTATATATTAATGCAACAGGATGCTTAAATACATGTTAGGAAATGATAACACAGCGTATACCCGTGCTTTGGAAATTTTAAATTGAGGTGCTTATATTGTTTCACCAGAACTTAATCAGGCTCCAAACTCCTTAGCCTCATGAGAAATGCTTTCCCAAGCCAGATCTATTTTGTCCTGCCTACCTAGTCTGGGTGGTGTTTGCTCACTTCACAAAAACCAAATAAACAACTTCGTCAACCTTTCGTGCCATCTTAACAAACAAATGAATCATTGAAGCGAATTATATAACAGGTGACACTACGAAAGCACTGGCATGCTCCGTTGCCGTTTCCTCAATTTGTGCTGCTCCATTCAGTAACGTGTTCAATTGTGACTGTTAACAATTCTCAGAAATTGCAGTTGCGCTATGGTTGCCTTTTCCTTAGTGGGTCCAACACCTGACGCTCAACTAAAAGTTACTAGTGCCAACAATTTTGGAATTTTGCTCTTACACACATAATTCGTAGTACTAAACTTTGCCGAAATATGCCCCTTTCAACTTCGGGTATTAAAACACCTATATTGGCCCTGCGGGCATCGCTTAGTGTGCATATCGTATCCTCCCCACCCGAAAAGAAAAAAAAAACACCTACAGGGTGGGCCAGACTCGATTAGGCAGTTTTTGATTAGATGTTATTTTTATTGATAAATGTTAACAATTGCAATGGTTACAAAAATGGAATCGCATACACATAAGTCATCGATTTTCAAGATGCTGGTCAACCTGGGCACCATCTAAGTCAACACAGGCTTGCAGACGCAAAGCAACATTTTCACACGGCTTTCTACACATATTCACTGGAACTTTATTGAACTCCTGAACAATCACCTCACGCAGATTTTTCACACTGTCAATGGGATTAGCGTATACATTGTCTTTGAGGTAACCCCAAAGGAAAAAGTCTGGTGAGGTGATGTCGGGTGATCTGGCTGGCCACTCCACAGGCCCTCGACGGCCAATCAAGCGTTGAGGAAAAACTTGATGCAAGAACGCCTGAAGAATACTGGCGAAGTGTGGTGGGGCCCCATCTTGCTGCCACCACAGTTCATCAAAGTTCTCTCTCCTCTGAAGTTCTGGGATGACACTTTCCCTCAGCAACTTTAGGTAGGTTTCCCCCGTGACGCAACCTTCAAGGAAGAACGGGCCAATCAGTCCTTCGTACGTCACGCCGCCCCACACCATCACTCCCGGGGACTGGAAATCGTATTCAATGGTGGCACTGGGGTTCTCTGGCCGCCAAAACACGCAGTTGTGTCTGTTGACCGATCCTGATGTGTGAAATTTGGCCTCATCAGTCCAGACAATATTCCGGATAAGGTCAGGGTTCTCCTGAAACTTGGTCAGCATCAACTCGGCGAACTCTAAGTCGCCTGTCGAAGTCGTCCTCGTTAAGAAAATGAATACTCGTAAGCCGCGGATGGTATGGCATCAGCTTCATGTCACTCGAAACTCTCCGCAAACTTGTCCTCGAAATGTCCAGTAGGGCTGACAAACGGTGGGTAGACTTCAATTTCTGAGGAGATGATGCCAGTTCCGCAGCAACACGTGCTTGTGTCAGCAGTTCGGACAGTTCTCGGCTGACCAGGATGCTTGGGATTCAAAGCACTGGCAGTTTCATCAAACTGCTTGTTTATTCGGACGATTGTGTCCCTGTGGACTGCTGGCGGTCCAAACTCTTCCAACATCCTGCGCTGGACTTCTGATACATTATTAGTAACTGAGAAAAGGTGCACACATTTTACACACTGCTCGATAGATAGCCGTCTACCGGCCATGACGTTTCCTCGATGCGCACTAAGTAGGCAGAGTATTGACCTCGTTCACAGCATACCGTATGATGCTGCCATCTATCGACAACAAAAGGTACTTTCCCATTATCCTGTGTTGTTGCATTGGTTAGTTATTAATGATCAAAAACTGCCTAATTGAGTCTGGCCCACCCTGTATATTTCCCCACTAGATAGAATGAACATTGATTCGAAGGCAGTGATAAAAATTACTTTAAGTGATGACTTGTTAACTTTTTCTACTATACCTTTACTTTGATGTATTTCACAAGCATAGTTTCTGGAACTGAAATACCCAATTTCCCAGTAGATGGCATATACATTTCATTCAAGTGAGCAGATATGAGCGCAGGGCAGTTACTCTGACTACAGATACGATATTCTACCCATACTTCGTAATACTAAGAATTCTTAGGTCATGGGAGCTGCTCTCTAATCATATGACCAATGCTTGAATGAATGAATGTATGAGGGGTAGGCCTTCTCGGCCCTTGCACCGTGACCTACAGTGGTCTATTGTGCTTCTGACCAATGCTTCCTAACAGTGATAAACTTTTACCGCCCTCACGTTCGTCTCCACTTTCATCCGCCGCTTCCTTGTTGCTGTCTGGTTCAGGGTAAGGTGTGATTACTCTTAATTTGAATTTGTATGGGCGCCAGTGGACTTGGGTGAAATCCACGAGTTTGGAACGGGGAAAACAAAGGTGGGGATATGGATAGGCGTACGTTTGGGGTTCCGACTGCTCAGAAGGTAGGACCAGATTCTGTCTCAGGGCGACTTCTGGGCCTTGCTCACACAAGGAGAGAGAACACTGAAAAAACACACTTCACCAACTCTGTTGCTTTTATTGTAGATGTGCACTACAATTACACTTTACCAGGCTGTAGCACTTTGAATTTGTACACCGGATTCGGGCCAACGCCGATTTAACGTCCGGGAGGTTACTCCTGTTACTCCCTTTTGGCTACTCACTCCTGTTACTCACTGTTGGTGACTGACTGCTCTGGAGAGGCGGAAGTCCTTACGGAAAGCAGGAACGCCTGGTTTCCTCTCCTCTGAAATTTTGCTGACTGGCTGAACCTAAAATTTGGGTGTTTCATTTGCATTCAGCCAATCCCTAACAAGATCCATGTTAATTTGGGCCTAAGTACAAGACGGTCCTTCTGACAGCTCTCAAATAAATGAAGGTACGCTAACGATCGCTCGGTACGCCCCTCCGAAAATTATTGCGACTCGTATCTGTCAAGTCTCAAATTTTCAAAGACTCGCACCGTCGAAGTTAAGCATTGAAATTCCCAGAAAACACAGCGGGATACTGCCTGCTCCGTTCTGGGGGTTTCAAGTGACCTGCAGCTTGCTTGTCCCTCAGAAAGACCAGATGTTGTCCTTGGTGTCTGCTGGTGCTGGGGTCAATTCTGTATCATCTTTTGTTAACAGTAATACAGTTCGTTTACATGTAGTACATTGTAATTAAGAATGTAAATGAAAAACATTGCCGAGGTTCCTGCATGGTGCGGTTACAAAACACACCTTGCACTATAAAAATTACTAACAGAATTCTTGATAATATTCAATGGTTACCCATGATTCTTGGCATGAAGAACCATCAAATACATGCAGACGCATTCTTGTTTTTTGACACAGTTCCAAACCATCCCTACCAAAGAACACTCCACACCACTACACACACAACCACATCAGAATAATTATGTTTGCTAGAGATATTACTGCATTCTACACAGTCAATGCCAGTGGAGTCTGCTATAGCAGGAAAGGAACGCTATAAGAGCGACAGTAGTCTGTGTGACAAACCAAAATAGAAGTATGTCATGGGCTAAAACAAATATGAATGCAAAGGTAAAATTATAGGACATGTATTGAAAGCTCTATTTCAGTTTGGTTACACATGGCTGCCATCCTGCATACCTCACCACTGCATGTGACAAAATATTCTACATGCCATTTTAATTTATACTTTAATGTGACTGAGAAGCATTTCTGTAAACCAAAAGAGAATGTAGAGTAAGGTCCTCTGGGTTGTAGCACTGTGCAGTTCAGCAGAAGTCTACTGATGTTACCCTAATTTTTTTAATATTAGTGGGGTGGGACTAAGTCCCTTGTACTGCGGCCACTTCTGGCCTATTGTACCAGCCCCAGATGATAGGTGAGGGTGATTGTGGAGCAATTGGTGGAATGAAGATTGGCAGGGGAAACTGAAGTACTGGGAGAAAACCTGCCCCAGGGCCACTCTGTCCACCACAAATCCCACTTGACCACACCCGGGATCGAACACAGGCTGCCGTGGTGGGAAGCCAGTGACTAACCGCTTGAGCTATGGTGCACCCCTTATGTTACCCTAAAAGGTCAGTGGACTTCCACTGAACTATGTCATTGTAACCTTGAAGAACATTTTCAGTCATCACTGTGAGAACCTCAAACTCAACATGAAGAAATATACAAATATAATCTGGACATTATCCATCGTCCTGCTTTTATCTGAAACACTGTCCTGTCTTCAGAACTTTGTGTTTTTAAATATAAACAGGATGGTGGAAACATATTTGTACTACTGTACCATCATCAGAAAACTTTTTGACCTTACGAGGAAATGTAATTAGATTTGACTGATATGGGATTAAATGACACTTGTATGTGGAATGGCTCACATAGTGATTACATTTTATAGTGAGCCTATAAATACCCTGGGAGACGCAACTTCCAATAATGCACGGATCTTACAACCATTCTACCAAAAAAAAAGCGATACAGAATGATAAACCAATGATGAGAAAGGAAATATGCAAAAGAATCAAAGGTGAACAAATGAAAGAGGAGAAAATATAATGCAAATAATAGGAAAAATATGAAAACAAATATAAGAAATTACAAAATATTAAGAAACACTAATTACATACATTAAAAAAAAGATGTCAAGAAATGATTAAAGAAGCGCATACTTTATGTAACATTTTGGATATCGGTGTAATTAATGAGGGATTTCCATTTAATATACATATTTAATGTTCACTGCAATCCAATTGGTGCATACACATCTGAATGTGGTGGTGGTCTTACAGCAGCAGTCACTGGCCTCCAATATTACTTATACATTCACAGAGCTCTTGTTTACAACTGGAGCTTTCAATTACTATTTTTAGTAAACAGAAACACAGTATATTAAAAAAAAACATGAATAACCAAAAGCTCAAGTATTGATTCTCTGTAGCTGCAATATTTTACCCAGTTTACCTCATCCTTACCCATAAACATTTTGCATTATGTACCTAAGATAAACAGAATTGTAACATTCTTTACACATAAAATAAAACCACATATTAATCTCAATTACAGTATCCACAGAATAGAAAAGGGCCAGTGTCGAACTGTCACCCTGTCCTGGAATTACCTATTGTGGGGTCTTGTCACACACGCGCACACACACACACACACACACACACAACATCCTTGAAGTTTCCTGGCTGGGACTTTATGATGGTCACTAATGTTCTGTGAATGGGGCCAGATGTGACCATATCAAAGTAGCATAAGTACTACAGCAGAGTACACAAAGATACATTTCATTACTTGTCACCTCCTGTCAGGTGGAAATATTAACTAATGCCAATTTTAACTGACAGTGATCTGTTAACACTCCTGTCATGGGTTTCCTATTTAGCTCCACATTTTAATTTGACATCAGTACAGGAATCAGAAGCATCACATTGCTCTATCTACATGGGTTACTTCAAAAGTCATGGGAACATAATTTTTCCAAAATTTTGAAAGCTCTGACCGGAATTTCCAAATTTGCTGCTGAGTGACAGTTACATCTGATTTCTAATGATGCCGCTAGATGATGTGGAAGTCCAAGGACAACGAAGCGAGTCCAGCGTGAAGTCAGTGTGATCATAACGTTCATCGAGAATGAACGTTAGCCGGCTGGAACAGCGTTGTTACGTGAAAATAGCAGTGTTTCACAGCAGAAATGTGACGAATGTCACTCAGAACTTGTGGATGCTCTGGGTGATCGCACTCTACCATACAGAACTGTTGCAAGGTGGACAGAAGCATTCCAGCGTGGAAGAGAAGCAAGTGCCGCTTGAAATGTAGTGGACGCTCTGTGTCCGTTTGTACTGATGTTTCTCATGCCGTGATCGCTGGCAGTGAGTACTTGATACACCTGGAGACTACTTTGAAGGTTGCTAGTCATAATGTAAGAATTTAGATTTAACTCGCATTGATTTTTTAATCACAATTTAATTTTTTGAGGATTAAACAATGAAAAAAAAAAACAGCCATTCTGTAATGTGCAATTTTTGTTGTCTACTGTACCTACACCCCTTCACATCTACCTCATCTGACTGAGCCAATCGGAGGGGTATATCATGCCCTTTCGTAAGTATATTTTGAACTTTCTTCACTGTAACATGTTTGCCCAAAACAAATTAGTTGCCATGACTTTTGAAGTAACCCATGTAGTTATGGATGTACAATATTCTGGAGGTCTTCTATCCTCCAGTTTCGATAGTTCCATCAGAGATGTCACAGGCAGAGCCAAGCCCTACAAAAGCCATTCTATAGCCTTTTTTTCAACAGATTCACTGCCTGCTACCCAGCACTCCAACATTAATATTAACTGTACAATTGCATTCTGCCCATGTTACAAGTGACTGCAGAGAGTCCCAGATTAATTCTGAGTTCCTGTGGAAAGTCATGTGCTCTTGGTACAATCTGAGTCTGATAAACCACAAATGTGCCTATTCTTGTAGTCATAACCTGTATTCTCCATTACACATGCTTCTATGACACATTTTTGCCTGAAAACTGTAGTATATGCCACATGCCATAATAAATACCTGTGCTTCAATATAATTGTGTTTAAGATACACCCACTTAACTTTACGTATGTACAGGCAAAAGTACTGTGTAAATTTATAATGTCCTTGGGTGTTCTCTATTAGGTACACAGAAACAGAAGGGGAAGTTCCATATATTCCAGCAAGAGCCTCTGATACAATCAGAAGAAGCACAAGAGCACTTCTAGTACAGCTGTTGGCATCATATTCATAGCTCCAATTTTAAGTAATCAGGCCATCTGTTGTAATATAGAGAGTTCAGCTCTTATAGCATGTAACTTAATCCCTGGCAAAGAACTGAGGCAATGTAAGTAATGATGGTCTTACCACAGTGGTGCAGACCCCAGCAGGTTTTCTTTGCTACCTCACCCATCTACAATCTCCATGTCAATCCAGTCTAAGTTCTGTGGATAACTGCAATCTGATACCAGAGAAAGTTGGTTCCATAAGGCTCAGTAAGTGTATTTTTGGAATATGTGTCCCTACAGGTACAGGTACTCTGAAAGCCAAGGTGCATGCTAGAACAGCAAACTGCCAGTGCATGCTGTAAGGTCGCACAAGAATTCATGCCATTCTCTTGGACTGGCAAGAATGTTTGCATATTTGTGTCTGCATGAATGGTGGACATACTCATGAATTCCGTAACAGAAGCACCAAAACTCCAATACTGCCTTTGGCTCCATACTTATAGGACAGCCTGTAGATACAGTGCATTACACTCCATGTCTTCTAGCACCTAAATACTTAAAATTAGTTTTGGTACAATGCAAATTCCTGTAATGCCCTGATTCTAACATGTCTATTAACCATTATGTATTAAAAACAATAGAACTGATTGGTCTATACACCTTTCCTTTTGTAATCTGTATGCACGGCTAAAGCATAAACTTCACTCCAACATGCCTGCACACTACAGAAATATATCCATGTAACAGATGGAAGAGACCAAATATTCAATTCCATGCTGCAAAACACCAGACATAATTCCATCTGGTCCAGTCAATTTAAATGATTTAAAAGTATTAACTGGCCATTTGGTTCTTGAATAATAACTCTTCTGCCCTTGAACCAGTTATTGCTGTTGGTTTTGCACTGTTGTATGTCTGGGTTTGACTCTTCATGCCCTTCAGGGAAGTCCTCAATCATTTAGAATCCAGAAAGTTTCTTTGCCAGGAAAAAACAACCTTGCTAACAGCAACAAGGAACATTACAGGTGCATGAGACTGTTCCATTCTACTTTGTGCGCAAGCCCTTGGGCACCCATCACACCAACAGTCTGATATGCTGTACAATGTTTATACAAGATGTACTCTAACAGTGGAGATATTTGCACTCACAGGAATCTGACATCAACCATCTGTCCTCTTGGATCACACTCTCCACTTTCTAGGCAGAAGATTCAAGCATACGTGGTTGGAATGTTATACATTTCCTCTATCACACACCGCTAAAGTTACTTATTGATAAAACTATGCATAACCACTGTTTGCTTGCTACTCATGTCAAGATTTTCTCAGCTTTCCACTACTCATATGCAAAAATGAAAGTTTTCTCTCTGAATGAAAACATGTTACTAATAACCAACATTTCTTTCACTGACACAAGTCATCAACCAAGTAGCCATCTCTAAAATATATTCTGTATAGACATGCCATATCATATTAAGTTAAGCTCCCATAGCGTAGTTGGTTGAGGCAGTACGCTACAAGCCAGAAGGTCACGGGTTCAAGTCTCGATGAGGTTGATTTTTTTTTCAATTGACCTAATCCTTCCAGCCACATTATGTCGTGGGGCCAGCTCAGCCTCTAACAGAAATGAGTATCAAGAATCTTCCTGCGGGGTAAACGGCGGCTGGTGCATAAGGCTCACAACCTTACTGCCATCTGTTAGCCAACTGTCTAAAGAAAATTTGGGAGCCTCAGTGTCTCACAAATGTATGGGCCTTCATGGTCTGTTACGGGGTAAGTTTTACCTTTATTAAATTAAGCTATACCTGTCAGGCCCACTGGATTGTGAGACAGCGAGGCTTCCACATTTTCTCTAGACAATCGGTTCACAGATGGCACTTTAGCCCCCAGGAAGATTCCCGGTAATCATTTCTGTTAGAGGCTGAGTTGACCCCAGGGACATAGTATAGCTAGAAGGATTAGGTAAACTGAAAAAATCCACCTCATTGGGACTTGAACCTGCAACCTTCCGGCTCATAGCATAGTGTCTCAACCAATTACTCCACCGCGTGCCCCCGCCATATCCTACTTATACCAATTTAAAGCTTCAGCCACTGCTGAAGCACTCAAGAATTATTCAGCAGTATCAAACAGCCATGAAGTAGGTCAATTCTTGATCAAGTGCCCTAGATTACAACATTTCCAGAGTGAGTAATAACAAATAAGCTTATTTTCTATTAGTAAATCCAGACTGCATCTTCAATCCTGCAGAAATACAAGATGCTATTGGAAAGTTCCTGGACTACGTGAAAAAAAGAAATTCTGGCATAACTTACTCAATTTTAGCTGCCATCTCCTTCAAAATAATCTCCTTGGGAATGCATACAGCAATCCCATTGTTTTTTCCAAGCTTCAGAAGCACTGCAGAAGTCGATTTTCCTTAATGGTGTCGAGTACTGCTTGGATATCAGACACTGTTTCAAAACGTTGTTCCTTCAGTTTCATTTTCAATTTGGAAAACAATGCAAAATTACAGGGGGCTAAGCCCAGTGAATAGGGAGGATGAAGAAAGAGAACCATGCTGTTGTCACAAACTCTGTGCTTTTCAAGGACGTGTGGGCAGGCACATGGTCATGATGAAAGAGCAATGCAGTGCATGTTCAAATTTTCTGTTACGATCTAGTGGCAAACTCCATAACTGATCCCAACCATGTCTGCAAGCTCATGGATTGTTTGCCAGTGGTCTTTGTGGATGAGTTCATGAATTTTTTCAACAATGTCTGTCTTTTGCTGGTAATGGGTTGCCCTGAACGTTCGTCATCAACTGACACTCGACCAGCCTTGAAATGTGAACACCATTCAAAAACCACTGTCTGGCTTAAAGAATGTTCTCCAAAAGCCTCATAAGCATTTCAGAGGTTTCGGTAGTGGATTTACCGAGCTTCACACAAAACTTGATGCAGACATGTTGCTCGATTTTGCCATCCATTACAGACAAAACATGAAGACAAAAAAACACTCCTGTAAAAACAATGCATGTTCACAGCGTGGTGTCATGTGACAGACAGATTCAACAGGCTTTTGAAAGTGTGACCTTGGCCTCCCACTCTCATCTTCTTTCACTGAGACAGTTACAACAGCAGCAATTTAGGAACTTTCCAATACCAGTTTGTATGAAATAACCTGTTTGATGAGATAAATATGAATCCTGTTCAACAGGCCTGAAAGGATTCTGATGATGGACAGTTCCTTAGATCACTTTCTATTCAAGCTACTGACATTTTAAAATAATATTAAGCCACATAAACATACACAAGGAAAGGTGTTGGTTCCTTCAGAGTGGTTTACTAAAACACAATGTATGACTAATTACCTCATGTAAGTACAAAAAAAAGGATGTCTGCAAGGTGCCTTTGATAACTGCTTTTAACACAGGAAACATAATGCCAATTCAGCTGTTACTTTCAAATGAGGCATCATCCCATGAAACCTTTGCATTATTTACCCATTTCTGCTGGGGGCATGCGTTAGCATAGTTGGTTCAGGCACTATGCTACAAGCCGGAAGGTCGCGGGTTCAAGTGCCGATAAAGTCATTGGATTTTTTTCAATTGACCTAATCCTTCCAGCTGCACTATGGCCCTAGGGTCAACTCAGCCTCTAACAGAAATGAGTACCAGGAATATTCTTGGAATATTCTTGGGGCTAAAGGGCATATGACTGGTAGGGCTGATGACCTTGCCGCCATCTATGAGCCGATTGTCCAGAAGATGGGGGAAGCTCACCATCTCACTACCCTATGGGCCTCCACAGCCTGTTACAGGGATACCTTTACTTTTACTCATTTCTGCCAATATTCAGCAAAAGAATTCACCACAAATAATTTTCCTATGACAAAACTCAACCAAGGTTCAACTCTCTGCAAGGGGAGAGATTCTGTTCACCACCACATGCATGGAAGCTCTACAATCCATCTAACCTCCTGTAAGAGTACTTACAGGTCTCCTCTGATGGACAAAATTTTCAGGGCATGCATCCTAACCTAGTGCCTAGGTTAAGATCTTGTGAAGTTTTATCATCATTCCTGCATACAGAGATCCTTTACTTTACCTTTTACTTCTAAACAGTTCTGTGACTGCATCAATAAGGAGGCCATGAACTGCAAGAACACCTCTGAGTATACAAGTGCTACACCATTAGCTCTTCTTAAATTTCAGTGTTTCAGCAAATTCAGCTCCAATTATCCAATTCTGACAGTGGACCTGTAAGGGAAAATTATGATGGTGGAAGCTTTCTGAGAGGAAACAGAGAAGTAATTACTCAGCAATGAAAGAATTAAAATTCTATCACCAATTATGGACCTAGCCAGGCTCATGTATTCATTCAGAATTTGTTTTTCAACCAGTGTGTGCCAAGGAATCGTTTCAATTCGAGATGCCTTGGGCTGCAAGAGAATTAATGCCAATTCTAAATATAGCTGCTGGTTGCTGTGGACTAGTACAGGATGCTGAAACATTACTGAAAAGTCTCTTGACACCACAATGGAATGTTTAACCTTTAATGGCCGAATGTTATATATATGACACAAGCAGCACCCTGAGTTGGCCAAATGTTTTATATATGCAGGACACGTGCACACTTTGGGAGTGCTGACAGTTTGACCTTGGGTTTGAAACCATAACAAACCTATGTAAGGTCATGTCAGTGGTTCATTCCTTAGCTCTAAACAATGAAATCATTTATCACGATACTGGTTTCGATACTATTTACGTTTAGATATGACTGTTTATGACCTGGTCAGCCAAATATAGCCCAGCTTTGTTTCGAGAACTGATGAGGAAATATTGATCAGTGCTTGCATATGAGTGCTTCCAGAGCCTTCAAGGAAGTCTGACACATGCAAGGATTTGTTTTCAGTGACGAATTATCAGTTAGGAAGTCAGTGTCGGATTGTCTAATATTTCTTTATCAGTTAAAAAATCACTGTCAGACTGTCATACATTTCTTTATATATCATTTCTATTTTGCGTCTTGGAAGTATAAACCCACTGAGCCAGTATTACTTTGTGAGTAAAAGGCATTTTCGCCACTGCGACTTTCGGTATCAGTGTCGGACTGGCACTCTTTTTGACTAGTGTTATTATAATTACTTTGCATCACTATTTTGCGAGTATTACTAATAGGTGAGTGTGTCCCTTTGTCAATCAACATAATTTATTCAAATTTGCTAGAAACCCCCCTCCCCCAAGATGATTCTTCAATTGCACAAGGTGAATATCACGGTCAGTGGCATTTCTCGGGGGGAGGCCAAGGTTATCTGGGGCCAAACTGAGTCAACTGGAGGTGAAACATTCACAACACTGACCAACCAAAGGGAAACAAAGACGTCATGTGTTTCGCTAAATAAGAAAAGCAGGAGTACGCTCTTCTATTGCAAAAAGGGTGGTGTCACTCTGTGTGAGGCGGACTGCTTCAAGAAGTGGCACGTGCATCAGAGGGTATCATAAACTGTGAAGTGAAGCAGTTCAAACTCATGTACAGTCTGAACAAAATATTACTGTATATAGTGTGATTATATTTACAATATCACCACGAGTCAAGGTTGAAGAAAAAACAATGGGTAAGTCCTTTGGAATTTCATAACATATACAGTAAAACTTGG